AAAAAAAAAAAAGAACAACAACAACTTAGTGTTACTATAATAAAATGACAATAAAAAACCAGAAAAAGCCTCGAGAACACAAGTATTATGCTAAACATTCTAATGTTACAAGTTTCCAAACAAGTATTCCTCTAACAACTACATCCCCCCTCCTCCCGACTCCAAAACAAGAAAGGAGAAAAAAACGAAAGCAATTGGGATGACAAATGACAATCACTTGTTGGTGAGAAAAATTGACGTGTAATAGACAATAGAAAATTTAGAAAATTTTCAATTTTGCATCTGATTAAGGCGTAAAAATATTTTCTCTATATTTTATCTGTACAAAAATCTCCGTAAACATTATTTCTTAATATGTCGTCTCAAAAAATTTTGCTAGAGAAAAAAAAAAAGAAAAGGAACTTATTTTACCTATCTTAAACTAACCAACTAATGTCGCTGCTACCGCCGTTGCCCATTGTTGTTGATACTGCTGTAAAAATATTATACATTGTTCAACCCTTCTCCCAAAACTACGCAATCCCCTTCCCCTGCCTATCCCCTCTTTCTCCAAAACAAATCCGTCGTTCACGGAACAGTAGAATAGAAAAAATTGGCAAAAAAAAAGCGGATGTCACCCAGAATACACAGACGCATATATCGCAAAAAAAAATAAAAAAAAAAAAAAAAACGAAAAAAAAGCAAAAAAATAAATAAAACGAATAAAAATAAAAATTATACCTGGACAGAGGAACCAGGTTGTGAAAAATACAGTGATGAAACACAACCAAAAACTGGTATCCGCCAAAAAATAAATAAATAGATAAATAAATGTAATGAAATTCCTGTCATCAACCGATGACATAAGCATAAACGAAGAAGTTTTTTGGTTTACATTCCTCAACTCCCAACGTTGAGTGACGTCCCTTCGGTTGGTTCTAATTGCTTGCTTCAGTTTTGATTTTACTCGATGTTTCAGCGATCCACCCGAAGTATCAATAAATACAAAATATCGTCATTGGACAGACAACAACCGTGTCTCAGATCAACAATAGTCTATGCATTATATTACGATCATATTACCTCTTAGCGCTCGTTCTAAACTTACACAATACTTGTTCTTGCCTTGCTGTCAAACTGCTGTTGTTCAAAGTATTTGATCAACTACTGCTCTACTGCATCATTTTTCCATCTGTTTCCAGTTGTCTCCTCAAATTTTATGTTTATCATCACTCTCTGTTGATAATACCATCACCTTATGTATTGTTACAAATAAATGTAAAGTATTTCACTGAAGATATTATTCAAAATTTTAAAAGTTCATTGAATACGTTATCATCTGTTAGAAATAATTTAATAAGAATTGTCAAGGAAACCAATTATCGCGCTCAAATGCAAGAAAAAAAAAGAAAAGGAAAGAAGCGACAAAAAGGAATTATTTTGTTTGCCATGTTTTCTTCATGCTTTTTCAAAGATCTTTTTTGAAGTTTGCTATGCCTATCCCACTGAATAGAATGACGGCGATAACGACAAAAAAAAAGAGAAC